TGTGTAAAGTGGGACTAATATTACCTACCTCATGGTGGTTGTGAGGATTTTATGAGACAGCGTATAGAAAGCATATCCCAGCATGTGACTGCATTATATAAAAATCCATTTGGCAGACTGTACAGTATACAATGAGTAGAATGAATTCCATGAAAACTTCCTTGAATTTGATAATCCCTTCAGCTGATTTAATTTCTGAAAATAGCAAAGGTAAAAAGGGCAGAGAGTCAGCATAACGTGACTTAAATAAAGCATTATGCGCCATGGAACATCCACAGTCTCCCTGCCCTCTTCAGCACAGCAGTCCTCGGAAAGACAATGGAAACACTTTTTTTTCCTTAAAGGGGCACTGGGGCATGCCAAGCACACGCCCTGCCACCGAGCTATAACCCCCACCCTCGAAACGCTTGCTTTTGATGGCTGTTTTTTGCCTTTAACTTCCCGCAACCTCAAACACTTGGGGGGGTGGTGTTAACCTAGCATTGTGGTACAGTGAAACTAGCAGTAGAATGGAAATTAAAAGGTTCCCTTGGGCACATTTTGAGCTTCAGTTCCCATTTATTAAGTGGGACTAAATTATTTCTTCTGCCTGCCTCACAGAGTGGTTAAAATGGTAAGATATTGTATATGGGAGCTTCTCAGAAATGATAAGTAGCTAAATCCATTATGGTACATTTTTGAGTACCTACTGTGTGCAAGACCCTAGGGATGCAACAATGAACAAGGTCCCATTTCTGCCCTCAGTTTTGGAGTCTTCTGGGGCAGACAATTTCAAAATACTACATTATCTTCATATGGAATAAAGGACAGGGTATTCTGAGTACAACAGGAGGGGGAGATCTAAAGAACAAGTGTATGCTGTGAGTGAAAAGGGGGGACTCCAACCCCTGCGCTCTATTCTCAATCCCTCTTACCTTTCCTTAATTTTCTTCACAGAATTTATTACCACCAAACTATGTATTTGTTTATTGCCTCTCTCTCTCAGCTAAAAACTAAATTCCATGAGTACACGGGGTTGTCTTTATGTTGGTAATTGTAAACCTAGCAACTAGTATAATGTCTGACACTGGTACTTCCAAGGAACTCAAATATTTGTTGAATGAATATGTGTGCAAATTCCCATAGATATGGCAACATGGAACCACACATAACTAAATCTTAGAGACATATCACAAGCAAGGGAGGAGGGAGTAACAAAAGACCTATGTAGGTCAGGGAGGCGGCAAGCAGAAGCCAGATCACAAAACATGTTAGATTTTGTTGTTTGGATTTTAGCCTGAAGGTAGAAAAGTAACATCAAGTATATACTTAAAAACATTCACTCTGGTTTGGAAGACCCCTGTTTCAGAAATGGTAGATTAAAGCCATACATTTTAATTTATATCCTGTTTGCCACAAAACACCACTAAAAATGACAGAAGAAACAGAAACATAGGAATCCACAGGAGAAGAATTCTGAGGAAATTTCTAGAAGCTACAAAGTATATGGAATCAGACTGATACGGAAACCAAAATTGTGAATCCTTACATAACATCAATGTTCTGAAAATTTAGAAAAGCACTACTAAGGCAGTGGTTCTCAATAACCTTTGTGTGTGTTGTGGTTGGGGTGGGGAGTTGGCATAAACACTTGATGAGAATCTGATGGAAGCTACAAAACCTTTCCTCAGAAAAATTCCCATAGTTTTGGGTATACCAAATTTCATCCAGAACTCCCTTAACCCTCTCTGAAATCCAGGTATGATTGGCTTGAAATATGTGACAGTTCCACAGCAAGTAAAAGTCCACAGTTCTTCTCATCATGTTTACTAATGCACAGAGATTATATCCTCCCGAGCTAGAGTTCACTCAACCATTAGTGCTGTTTTGGCACTGTACATATTAACCAGACGTGAAATGTGCCAGGCACCATACGATATAACCATGAGCTGAACATAGTTACTGCCCTCAAAGAACTTACAGATTAGGGGAGAAATAAGCAAAAACTCATTCAGTTAAAAAGTTGAGTACCAACTATATGCCAGGCAGTGTGCTAGATCCTAGAGATACTGGGGTGATACAAGGCAGATACAGTCCTTGGCCTCATGGAAATTACAGTCCATGTGGAGAGAGATAGGCCCTAATTAAGAGTAGTACTCAGAAGTAGAGAGCCCCATAAGAGAGTGTAATGGGGAACCTTGCGTAGTAGGCAGTCGAGGAAGTAACTTTTAACCTGGAACCAGGATACAGAAATATTTAAAGGATGAAAGGGAGTTAGCTAGGTTGCTGGGAAACAGAGGAAGGGGGAAGTGGCAGGAGTTGGTAGGATTGTGAAAAGAAATGAGTCTGCAGAGTAGGCGTTCAATAAAACGTCCTGTCATTCTCATCAAGAGTTCTGACATTCAAACATAGTTTGGTGTTTAAGATCTTACAAAAATTCTAAACCCCCATGTCTATGTGTTACCTGAGTGCTTACTATGCCAGGATGCATGGATTATCTTCTATCCCTAGAACAATTATATATTATCTCTATTTTACAGTCGAGAAAACTGGGACTCTGATAACACGTTCAGTCAGATCTCCACTGAGTCGCAAAGCCAGGAACTGAAACTGGTAATTCTCACCCCAAAGAATGCCCTGAACTGGAGCCCAAAGGGCAGCCGAGGAGTTCTCACCAAACATGCTTTGCACTTGAAGATTCTTTTCTTCTTCTGTGCCTTTTCTCATATTCGCGTCTCTGCCAGAACTTTACCCAGAACCAACCCCAGGTTTTCCTAATCACCTATCAAAATCCCCTTCAAATACCAATTACTCTACTAAGTTTCCCCAAACAGCAAGAAGCCGTTGCTCTCCCCTTCTCCTTCAAACGACTCTCTACTGTTTCCAGTTGGTATTTAGCACCCCGTAGACCTTTTTTCTTCCACAGACTGTCGCCCAGCTCCTCCTCGAGGGACCAGCACACTGGTTCGCCGCAGCGGTCGCCCTGGAAACACACGCTGCTTTGAGCCGAATCTGTGCTGAATCCTTTCTCGACCACTTCCTGGGGTCCGACTCCTCGTTCCTCCAAACCCGTTTCAAATAAGGTATGTCGACTCTATCTATGCAAACTTGTACCTACGAGAGCTAAGACTGAGGTGTCTGACACTGACTCTGGGACAAAGACGCTTCCGACTCGAAACGCTTAGCAACCACCGGCTTCCTCCTCCGCTTGGCCACCTCCGAGATCCTCTTCCGGGGCACAGGTCGCCCCGCCCCTCCCCTCGTCTCTTCCAAGATGGCGAGCAGCGGCAGTGGGGGTGTTTCGGTGCCTGCGCTCTGGAGTGAGGTGAACCGTTATGGCCAGAACGGCGACTTCACGCGCGCTCTCAAAACCATCAACAAAAGTAGGTGTCCGGGCGGGCGCCGGGGCGGGGGCGGGCCCGGGGCGGTGTGGGAGGATGCGGCCTCCTTCCAGGACGCGCGACCG